AAAATAAAATATAAAATAGCCTTCTAGAAAATCTAGTGAGATCAGAAAAAGATGGAGTGAAAGGAGTCAAGGGATGATACAATAAAGCAGCCTGCACTGTTTACTTTAGATCCTAGGAGATTACACATGACTCCTTGTCAGGTGGCTCAAAGATAAAGGCGAAGGAGAACAGGATTTTGTTTGTCCCTTACAAAAATGAGGGTTCTGATTGTCATCCCTTCTCTTCTGCACTCTGGCTTCTGAGGATAAACATGGCTGCCTACATCAAGTGCACTTGACATTTTGGTTCTTAAACGGAATGATATATCTGACTTCAAGGACCCTTCCTGCTGTTACCAGAACTCATCCAACCCATGAATGAACGATGTAGTCTGACACCTTTGGAGATGTTCCTGAGCTTTATAACCTTGACAGGCAGAATTCAATGTCCAGTTTGAATGTTCAGCTCTTTCTAGTGAAATCTTTTGGCTGAAAACAAAAATACATCCTATAATATCTTATAGATACTTTTTTTTGTTCTCTCCATAGCTCCAAATCACTTTGGAGAAGCAATGAATTCATTCATTAGTCTAGATAACAAACAGCTTCAAATCAGCTAATCCTATTTATAATGAGCAATGCACTCAAAGCATAAATCTTACTGAAAAGGCAAGTGAGTAGACACTGACTTAGAACTACTATGTTTATATCTTATTTTTAGTAGTTCTTATGTTAATCTGGATCTTGAGTATCTTATTGATCTATTAGTTCCAAGGATTTAGCTTTACAATCAAAGAAGGCAGAAATGAACATGCACATCGAAGATTTAACTACAGGTTTGAGGTTAGGGTGTTAAGTTATAACTTAACTTACCATAAAACTCATCTATTTTAAATGAATCCAATTACTTTTACTTCATGCATTTTGTCTAATCATCTAAGCCTCATCCAATTTTAAGTACACTTTTGTCCCTTTGGGGAGTTCCTTCAAATCCCCACACCCTATCTTCAGCCCTAGGCAACCTCTGAGATGCTTTGCTTTCCTATAGATTTATCTATTCTTGAAATTTCATGTAAACAGAATTAAACCCTATGCAGTCTTTAGTCTCACACTACATAACCTGAGATTCACCCATGTTGTTAAATACTTATAGCTCGTTCTTTCTTATTGAGTAGTTTTCCATTAGATGGATATATACCATGCTTTGTTTAGCCATGTACTTTCAGAATTGGGTTGTTGGGTCAGATGGTGATTGTATGTTTAACTTTTAAACAATTGTAAAGTTACTCCAAAGTCATTTTCCATTCCCACCAGCCATGTATGAGAGTACCTTGTCCCCATGTCCCTGGTATTACTGTCACTCTTAAATTTCCCATTCTGACTGCTGGCCTTAATTCTCATTGCTCTAGCAGTAAATGACATTGAAAATCTTTCAATGAGTATGTACCCATTATGGTATAATAGATCTCAGTATATTATGGTCACCAGTATATCTTCTATTGCAAAATGTCTGTACAAGTCTTTTGCTCATTTTGAATTGAGTTGCTTATCTTCTTGTTACTGACTTTAAGAGTTCCTTTCTTATACAAATATTTGCTTCCAGTCTGTTGACATCTTTTTATTTTCATAATGGTGTCTTCCTAGATCAAAAGTTTAGTTCAGATGAAACTCAATTTACTGATGTTTTAAAATGTCCACAGCTTTTTTTTCTTATTACTATTCTTCCAGAAGTTAAAAAAATCATTTTAGCTCATGTGTGTATGATTGATTTTGATTGAATTTTTGTGTAGAGTTTGTGTAAATCTAATTCTTTCAGCCTCCATTTAAAAGAAAATAAAAACCTAAGCATCAATTGACCACACATGTGACAGTCTTCTGAGATCAGGTGAGACTGGGCAAGTTCAGGTGGTATGGCTGTAGACTATATGTGACAATCTATTCCTGGACTTTCTGTTCCATTAATCTATGTGTTCACCAGCAATATCCTCTCTTAAGAACTTGATTTACAGTAAGTTTTGAAAGCAAGAAGGGAAGGTACCCTGACTGTTATTTTCCCACACTGTTTATTCTAGATTGTTTACATTTCTGTATACATTTTAGAATTATTTTGTCAATTTCCACCTTTCTGAGTGTTTGATAGAGACCATGTCAGATTTATAGATCAATTTGGGAAAAATTACCAATATTGAATTTTCTAATCCATGACATGGTATATATTACAGTAATTTCCTAACACTTTGCATTTTTCAGTGTTTAGTTCTTGTGGGCTTTAGGTTGAATTCATTCTTAAGTATCTTATTCTATTTGATGAGATTCAGGTTGTCTATTACTATATATATAATAGTATAAATGATTTTATATATTGAATTTATAGCCTGTCAACTCATTAAGTTCACTAATATCCAAGTAGATTTTTATTGTGGATTTTCTAATTAACAAAGATCACACTGTCTGTAAATAAAACTACTTACATTTCTTCCTTCTCAATTTCAGTGACTTTAATTTCTTGTTTTTGCCTTTAAGTCCCAAACTTTCATATCTGAATCATCAGCAAACTTCTTTAGTACCATAACAGTTATCTATCCTTCATGAAGAGATTTGAATAGCTTCCATCTTAATAAATTATTATTTTTAGCTAGCGAACAGTAACCATTTGCCTAGAAAAACTCAGTTTCAATATTGCTGCCATCTCTATTTACAAAATAGTATTTGGACAGTTATTTCAAAACTTGAATTTTGTACTCATCATTTAGGAAAAAGAATGGAAAATGAGAAAAGTACTGCTGTCAGTAATAAGCTGGAGTCTCATTAACTTAACAACAATTGAGACAAAGAGGAAAATCATTAGGCGTGCTGAAAGTGGCAATTCTTTAGCCTCAATTAGCTCCTTGTTGGGCTTAATCAGCTGGTCAACCATGAGAAAGAGTAAAATTATAAGGACATAATATGACTTAGTGCAAATATAACATCAAAGACTGTCTACAATGCAAGGCATAATTAGTGATTTCATAACATATCTCAGGTCTTTGAGAATATAACTGGCGTTATGACAGACACATCTTCCGTTGTATTTGAGCACAATTTAATTAACAAATATTCTGTGGAACAGAATTCCCCCTGTCAAAGCAGGGGAAATGCAAGCACTACACTTGATCTTGCAGAGTTTCTGAGACTGTTTAAGAATTCCCACTTAAAAATCAGAAGGCAGGTGTACAGATACAAGTAAGATGTGCTTCTCAAAGCACAACCAATAAATGCAGACAGGTCTTTAAACTCAGGTCTGCTGGTTCCAAAAGCTCTAAATGGAACCTCTACTTTTCTGGGTAACTCGTTTCCCTGATCTGTATTTCTAAGTCTCGGCCTTCTTCCCACTGCTCAGGAAGCCTTTGGTGCCACATCTGGTATGATTTCTAATATTCACTAGATTTCCTCACCAGCTAACAGGCCATTTGCTGCCCCCAAATGCCAGCCTGACAGCTTTAACACTACAATAAAAAGATGGCTGCATAAGTAAGCTACATACAAACAAACCCAAAAGTTCTAGTTTGGAAGGTGAATGATTTGCCCTTGAGTTTGGGTTAGAAATGCTCAGGAAGTTTGAATAAGAATGAATATTAAAATTTCTAACTGAAGTAATTCCTCTCCTCTTTGCTTTCACTTTTTTTTTTTTTTTGATAGACATTAGAGAGTAAATGCAGTCTAAAGCAGAAAAGTTACCGTAAAGCTGGGCCATTGTAGACAGGAGAAAAAGCTCAACCTCTTTTCTCAACACCCCATTAGATACATGCCTGACACCAAACTCTTGTAACTTGCATTTGGAAGATCAGCAAAGCCTTCTGCTACTGACAAGACAGTTTAAGAAAAAAGGAAACAATATCAAATGTGTTTCTTGTTGGATCTTAAGCGAAGACACTACATGTTTTAGCTATTGATGAACTCTTCCTCTACTCAGGCAATATACAAATCATCATCTAAGTTCACCCTGGGCCAAATAAACCCTGTGAGGTGAAGAAGCCATTCTGATTGAATCCCCTGATCGGCAAACACTTGGAAAGAAGTTTTATGTCTTGTATTAAAAATTAATTCTCTTCCCAATGTCAAGCACATGTTTTATGATGCTTAAAATATTTAGATACATACAGTAGTTAGAAAAATATTGGAAACAACCCACAAGATTGGAGGACATGGTGGTATATCAATCAGATACAATGGGAGTTAGCAACAATGGCTCACCTTTTTTTTTTAAATAAAGTTTTATTAGCAGTTGTGCTCGCTTATCTATGTATCACCGATATCTGCTTTCTTGCTATAACAGCAGACTTGAGCATTTGTCTTCACTGAAGTCATAGGTAGCCTGTAAAGTCTAAAATATTTACTCTCTGGCTCTTTACAGAAGTTCTGCCAACCCTGTGATAACACATTTAAAATAAGATGACGGCAGTGGCGCTATGGCTCAAAGGGGCAGCACAGTAGCCTTGAGCAAAAGAGCTCAGCAACAGAGCACAGGCCCTGACCAAGAAAAAAAAAGATGAAAATATACTCTCGCCAGACAAAAAAAGAAATACATTATGGGGGAGGAGGGTCTGATTTCCATCATCTAAGCTTTGCCATGTTCAAAAATGACTTCCTATTTATTATTTTTTTTTTGGGGGGGTCCGGTCCTGGGGTCTGAACTCTGGGCCTGGGCACTGTCCCTCAGCTCTTCAGCTCAAGGCTAGCGCTCTACCACTTGAGCCACAACGCCACTTCCGGCTTTTTTCTTTTTGCTTAGTGCTAAGGAATCGAACCCAGGGCCTCATGCATGCAAGGCAAGCGCTCTACCACTGAGCCACCTTCCCAGCCCATGACTTCCTACTTCTATCACAATAGACAAATCAAACTTGCACTTTAAGCTTATCTCAGTTCCTGTCTCTTGTCTTGTGCAGAGTGAGTGGGATTAAATTCACCTGACTCCGGGCTTGGCCCCTCTCCCCACAGGAGTGCTCCACAGGGAGGCAAGCAAGGAAGTGTTGGGCAAGTACCTTATGCTCATCCCGAAGGTGCCCATCCAGCTCCTCCGTGTGCTTGCTCTCATAGTAGCAGAGCTGGCATTTGTAAGGTTTCAGCTCATTGTGCTTCTCGATGTGCTGCTGCAGGCTCTCGTCGCTGGAGCAGGTGAAAGTGCACTTGTCACAACGGAACACTACTCCCTGCAAGTATTTTGACAGTTTGGACCGGCATACTTCAATGGGGACAACTCGCTCTTCTGTGGAAACAAATTGAATGGAAAGTTGTGTGTTTTTACTGATGGTAGGCACGTCTCCCCCTCACCCCTTTTTTTGAATAGAAGAAGAAAACTGACCCATTCCCTTTTGCTACCTCTCTTGGGTCTGGATCCATGAATGTCACACACACAGTGCCCTCCTCCTATTCACCCAAACCACACATTCCACTAGCACCAGCTTCTTCTGTACTTGATTCCCCAGAATAACCTATACCCAGAGGTAGGGCACACTGAAAAGTGCTAAGTCCTGAGTGGAGGTGATTCAGGTAGGGGTGGTATGGATATGGCCACCATTTTTTTTTAAACTAGATTAGTGACAGTAACCATCAGCATTGGCCTTCTTCCTAGACAACTGAGGGTAGAAATGTCTCTGGTACTACTAATGGGGTACCTATGTACCACTTCTGTTTTAGCACCTTCTTTCTAATACCTCTCCAACACTGCAGTTAACCCGATTTTTAGAATAAATTCAGCAAGGAGCAGTGTTTAAGTTATTCCCCAACACTCACAGATCGTGTCATCAGCAAAGCTGAGATGTCAACCAGAGTCAATGTCGCTATAAATATATTATTGCCATGATTTCCCATTTTCCCTTTGCAGAGAAGATTCTGCCCCTGTCCAGAAAGCAAGTCTATCTCTAATCTAGTAGTAAAGGCATGAAAACCAAGAAAACTTTTCTTCCTTTCACTCCAAGGCCAAATCCCAACTCTGAAGAACCCACAAAGAAAATGGCTACAGGCAACTTGAGGGGGAAGTAGGGTTGCCACAGGAGACACAAAGGACTTGTCTCTCTCCAGACAATCTGTAATCCGATTGGCATAATAGAAAAAAAAAGGAAAAGAAAAAAAGGGAGAGAGAGAGGATTTGGGTGTCTTGCCTGCTAACACACTAAATGCTGTTAGGGTTGGAAATGCGTGTGCTTGTTTACTTTGCACTCTCTCACCCTTGTGTTTTAACTGCTCAAATTAAATTTCACACCAGTCTGCCCAGAGTATCGGCGCACACGCCAGATATCCATAACCAGGATAAAATTAAAATCTGTGCTATTTATGCAAGAATCAAATATAGCATGTGTGTTTTCATGCTGTGTCTGGATTTCAGAAGACTGAAAGTTTACAAATGGACGCACACAACATATACTTAGATTATTTAGAAAGAGCAATGTATTATTAAATCAAGAAAGCGTGATTTTTTTTTTCTCAGAGTCACTGAGCAGAAACATTCTTAAGAGTTTCAGTCTTTATCACACTGATGGGTCTGGCTCCTCCAGTCTTCCCTTTGTTGTTGGACTGTGTTCAGATCCTGGCGAATTTTCCTGACCCATCACCATGCTTTGGTCTCTACACAATATTCTAACTGCAGATCAGACATTGCCTTGGGAGCCCTTGAATGTGTGCACTTCACTGGCCAGCAAAATGCTGGAAAGAGGGTGCTTAGAAGGTGGTATCTATGTAATACTTCCTGGAGCTCTAATGCATATGTTATTTTCCCTATACAAAGAGTCAGTTGCTTATTTAGAAATATAAATATTTTTAAACCCGAAGTATAGCAGACAGCTAAGAAACACATGATTATAATGTAATCCACACATTTTCTTAGAATAGCAAATGTTTAACAGTCTTCTAAACCATTCAGTTCCACGCAAAGGCTTTGGCATAAACTAGTAAGTCTTAAGGAGCCCATGCTAGGATATTCTATTCCCCTAGCTTAGGATGACTTCACAGTTGTATGATTGACATTTGAGAGCAATTCTCCGTTGTAAGGATGATCCTCGGCATTGTACAGTGTTTGTCAGCATCTGTGGCTTCCACTCATCAGAAGCGTCTAGCATTCCCTTCTCCCCAGTCATGACAACTGAACATGCTTACAGACTAATGTACTCAGAGGAGGCAAGATTGCCCCCAGCTGAGAACCACTGCTCTAAGCAAAGTGTAGGGCATGAACTGTGACTGCTCTGTACATGTAAGGCAGCCCTGAACATAACCCAAGAGCAAGGTGGTATCCAGGGCTTGAGGAGTGGTAGGATCAATGAGGGAGAAGGTACACACGGGGACACCGAATTCATGGGGAAGGCTGACATGAGTTTCCCTGGCACAGGCCTGAGGCTGCAGCCCCCTTGTTCTTTCTACATTTGTTGCTGATTTGTATCTTGACATGTCTACTGCTTTCTCTTTTGTTCTTTGGCTCTGGCCTGTCCCGTCTGCCCTGGATCTGTCAACTTCAGTGGAAATGGAGAACAGCTGGGTATAATTTCCCACATAACGATGCCCAAGACGCCGTCAGGACAGTCATTCAGCCACTCACCAGTCTTCACGTCCTACGATAAATGATCGGTTCTTTCAGACCTTTTTTCAGGTCTGCCTTTCAATTCCTCTACCACCTTGGTGAGTTTTCTTTTGCAGTTTCCAATTTCACTCTATGTATCCAAGTGAGTTTTACACAAAGTTACGAGCACTCAGAAGAATGCCCTGGAGTTCAAATAGTAATAATTAATGTAAAGAAGAGTACAATTTATTAAGTGCACTGTTTGATGCTCTCATCAGGACTTTTAAAAAACTTCTCGTGATAGCTGATAAAGTCAGGGGTCTTTTCTTCAGGTGACTTGGAAACTGAGAAGTCATCAAGCAAGCTACTTCCTCAAAATCACATTTCTACTTTAGCACAAAGCTGTAGCCTGGGTACGCAGATCTGACCGCATCCAGCATACTTCCTCCTTCACCCCTGCTAACAGTTTCCCTGGGACATCTAGTCTCCATATGTGTTCATATAAGTCTTTTGTTCCTGTTGTTTTATTGGGTGTGGCTGTGAAAGGCCTTGAACTTAAGGCCTTTGCACTCTTGCGTGACCATTTAAGGCTGGCACTCTACCATTTGAGCCACACTTTCATTTCGTTTTTTGATGACTAATTAGAGCTGAGTCTGATGGATTTTCCTGCTAGGGCTGGCTATAAACCGCAATCCTCAGATCTCAGCCTCACAGTGTGAGCTATTGGTGCTTGACTATTTTTAATATTTTAAAACATACAAAAGTCCAGATTCCCAATGTAACTATTTATACCTGAGTGTCTCTCAACGTTTTTCTGGAATTACTAAATGGCCACTTCCCTGCTTATTTACTCTGAATGTAAGACTTCTTCTTATTTCCAAACATAAGACCTCATAAATGGACCCTGTCTCTTATTAATAGGAATTTTTTTAAAAAGATAATAATAATATTGATGATGTCAGAAAAGTTCACTTTTTCTTGTTTCTCAAAACCTGGCTAACACGAACAAGACTGGCAAATCAAAACAAAAACAAACCAAGATAAACTTTGAAAGGTGGGCAAATGATAGGCAGGGTTTTCTGAATGAGGTTATTCATTACTGAAGCAAGTGAGGGACATAGAGTAAAGGACTGGCATGTTTCCGGGTATCAACTGGGCCCTGCCTTGGCCAACAGTGCCCAGGACTTTTTTTTTGTCCTTGTGGGGACAGTGACTGACAACTGTGTGTTTTCCTTGACTTCACACCTCTCACAATTACCTTGAGTAAGAAATCAAGGCCTGATTCACATTCACTGTGACTCCATCCCTAGCACTGTCTGCAAACAATATTATGACTTCATTAGTTGGCCCCAAGATAGACTGTGTCTTATGTCTTAGTACTCAGAAGATATCTGGTGCTTCAGGGGAGGGAAAATCTGAGAAGCTAAGAGCCACTGTCCTGGAACTCAGTGGGAAGACCTGAAGAATTACATCTACAGAACTCACTTCTACCCAAGTCAGCAGCAAACACAACGGACTACAGCACGACCAAGAAAAAATTCTTCCTCACAATATAAATCACAAAATAGATGAGTTTTCTTTTCAGAACATGCCAAGTATAAATGAGGCAAGAAGAGATCTGGAAGCCCTAACCTCCAGCAAACTTCTATACAAATGATTGTCCTAGTGGATTGAGTCCTTCTTTGGACTGAACCAACGACCCCTCTAATAACACTATTATTTTTAAAACCATCCTACTTAAGGGAGGAACCCAAAGGCACAATGTCTCTGTGCCTCTGAACATATAAAACAATATTTATCAAAGTGAATTACAGGAAATGGAAACAAGGCTTTTTGTTTGCTTGTTTTTGTTACTTTACAGCTGTTGTTGGTGAAGATGGCATTGTCTGTTTTTGCTTTTTGGTTGTTTTTTTTTTTTTTTTGCTTGTTCCTGTTCCCCCACTCTCTTGTGTGCTTGTTTATCTATCTTTGGGGGTGATAAAGAGTGACACGGAAATGGAGGGACAAAGAGTGAATAAATACAGCAGTAGACACTCGAGAATGAACTATACAACTTGTGGGAAAGAATGAGAAGGAAAAACTGGAAGAGAAAGGAAAGGGGGTGATACTGCCCTACAAGAAATGTACTCACTACCTGAGTTATAAAATGGAAACTCCTCTGGACATCACCTTACAATAAAAAGTCTATACCAAAACAACCCATACGAAACTAAAGCCCCAAATAGATACACACATGCAGATATGCACACCATTTCCTGATCAAATAAATTAGGGGAGACAATGACTTCTACCTTTAAGACCCAGTTAACATGTAGCATTTGTCTACTCAGTAGAAAACCGAAAGTGAACATGGTGACTGTAGACTAGTAGCAACGATCACCCAGCTACATAATGCAAATGTTTACAAAGCTGTATTACACCCTTAAAATCTAATCTACACTCAAAAATTTAAGATCACTATAGAATACAAGGCATATATATATTGTAAAGTCAAGCATGAGGCACTATGCTTTCAATGGGGATAAACTCAACCGAAATTTACTCATGATACTATGTTAATCATCTCTCCATTAAAAGAGGGCTAGTATACAGTGGGCATTCAATAAACAGATCGCTCAAGTGAAAACCCACCAACTGTCATACCAGTAACACTGTCCTTGAAACTACACTCTCAGGGCTTCCATTTTTCCTAAACTCATTAAATCATGGCTAATCTCACCAAATGTTGATCTGACCTAAGTCTATACAGTCTCCAAAGTAGCTGAATCTACTAATCCCTCATTTCAACCTTATGCTGTTATATTAATTTGTCAAATATTTGCTCATATATAACAGGTGTTACATCAGTAATATGATGAAATTTGTTCTGGCTTTCTGTCTACTGAGCAAAATTAGTCTCCAAACCCTCCATAATTTGACAAAAACACGCCTGTGTGTGTGTGTGTGTGTGTGCGCGCGCATGTGTGTGCATGGGCCCATGCCATGTGACCATACTGGAGCTTGAACGCAGGGTTTGAGTTTTGTCCCTGAGCTTTTGCACTCTACCATTTGAGCCACAGTTTCACTAGATTTTTTTGATGTTTAGTTGGAGTTAACAGTCTCAGACTTTCTTGCCCAGGCTGGCTTTGAACAGTGATACTCAAATCTCACCCTCTTGAGTAGCTAAGATTATAAGCATAAGCCACTGGTGCCTGGCTCAGAACATAAAACTAGTATGCCAATTATTCTGTTTAGATCTCACCATCTGCAAAGATGACTTGCTCCTATTGATGTTAGCAGCATTAAAATTGTTCTTTGCTCCAAGTAGTGGATAGAATAAAATCCCCCCCAACTCCGCCCCAAATGACCTTTATGGAGCAGATGGTGTTTGTGAATGTAATTAAGATGGGGCCCTACTGGATCAGGATGACCCCTAAATTCAAAGATGAGCATTCTCCTAAGAGAAGGTACAGAACAGGAAATGAGGTCTAGGGATGTGGAGATGTGGTTATGAGCTAAAGGATGCCATGGAATGCCAAGGATCCAGGGAGCCATCAAAAGCTGAGGCAGAGAAGGATTCTTCTGGAGTTTTCAGAGGGAACACAGATCTGTTGTCAACTTGACTTTGTACATCTAGCCTCTAGAACTGTGACATAGAATGTACTTTAAGTGATGCACTTGGTCCAAGGAAATTAATATACCCAATGTTAGCCTTCCCTTCCAGTTGCGGTGTTCTCATGACTCAGTTTAAAAGCCATTCTTGTATTCCATCTTTTTTTTTTAAGCTAAACAGAAATAAAACTCCTAGATTTTTACCACTGAAGATACTGTGAATGCTTTCTTCTCCCTGAGGAGGACAGGTGCTGGGTATTACATACTCTACCAAGCAAATAATGAATGCTTGCTGAATGCATGAACAAACAATAGCATCCTTTTTGCCATGGCTGACACAAATCACTGATGAGTTCTCATTTCCCTTGAGTTAAAAGGATTCTCCTCCTTATCTAAAAATGTATCATTGTGTCTCAACCAAACCAGAGAGAGAGAGAGAGAGAGAGAGAGAGAGAGGAAAACTGTTCTTGCTAGTAGTAGCTCTGTCTCAGGAACAGTTCAGAAATTGTTTTTCTTGCCTTTCATCCCAAGGATTTTAATTAACTAAGGCCTCAGAAAGATCTCAGACTACAGACCCTAGAGACCAAAGATGTTTATTCATCCATGGAACAAGAAGTGTACAGGTGCAAAAGGAGCCACATCTTGTTACTATGAGACCCATTCTAGTGCCAAAGCAAAGGCAGACACGTGACCGTGTCTGCTGGCATGTCGAGCCAGCTTTCCACTGAACTACTGTTGAGTTGAGATGGACATCAAAGCCAGGTGGGGACACAGATGGCTGATTCAGCTGTCGTGCAACCCTCTGCGATCTGGGGATCAGGGGTCCTGGTCTCAGACCTGTAGCCCCCATTGCTAATTCTGTTTTCAGATCCAGCTAGCACAGTCACCATCAACTCAATAAGGTGATACCACCCTCCCAAGGGTTCTTGTGGTTCAAGGCAAGAGGCTGTGGGTCAGACACACTGGAGTTACTGAGCAGTCATTTGATCTTAGCCTTTCAGAACTTGACTTCTCCTTTGTCATGAAGGATAGCAGTCCTCTACACTATGAAGGTTTCTGTGAGCATTCTGTATGACTCATCTAGTACAGTGCTTGTGATCCAATGATGATCACTGTTGTTATTATTAATGTTGCTACTATTCTGATAGTCCTGAAATGCTCTTTATTTCAGAATGGTGAAGATCATACTTAGAAAATTATCACCCTAAGTGAAGCGACTGTAAACCCCTGGCCTGTAAGGTGACAAGACATAAGGTCAAAAGATGTTGGCCCAATGTCACTGCATGGGTTGTGTAACTGGTTAAATTTCTCCAGATTGAGTAACTCTAACCTGACCATCTGAAATCTGAAATCCAAACTTTCTTAGCATCAACAACGAAGTTAAAACATTTCTGATTTTGTTGGTACATTTATGATTTGGGATTACGGAAGTTCAATGAAAGTGTAAATAAATAATCCAATCAAACTATAAATTAAAAAAATTCAATTACCTTGCCCATGTAATTGTAACCCCCTCTGTATGGTATTTTCACACACACAAAAGAAAAAGAAAAGAAAGAAAGAAAAATCAGAGTCTGAAACATGACTGATGCCAAGCTGGGTAAGGGATTCTGAAACTGTCTTGTAGGTATGGTAGTAGGAACAACATGCACTCCAAGATAATCACTGGAAAAATGTTTCTCATTTCAGTATGTAGGATTCCTGAAAATTTCCTAAATAATCCTTGAAAAGTTCAGCTAGGTGTGGAGGCTCATGCCTGTACTATTAGCAGTTCAAGGGTCATGGCATCAGAACGATTGTGGTTTGAAACCAGCCTGGGCAAAATGTTCAAGAGACCTCATCTCAACCAATAAAAAGGCTGGGCATGATCATGTGTTTCTGTCTCTCCAGCTGTGTGATCACAAAGGCAACCTGTGCAAAAAAGCAAGATCTTATTGGAAAAATAATAAAAACAAAAATGCTCAAGTGGTAAAATGCCTGCTTGGCAAGCAGGAGGTCCTAGAGCAACTCTACCACCAGAAGCAAAAACAAAAAACCCTAAGCAATACTCTACATCCAGTTGGTTCTGTTCATTCTCACAGGAAGGCAGGAAATTCAGGGCCAAATCCGCAGTCAGGGCTAACAATGATAGGACCTCTTGTATCCATGAGGTCTCCACAGTACTCCACAGCTTTTCCAAACTGTCTGCTGTACTTTTCTATTGGTTGCATTTTTATTTTCCATTTGCTTTAATTCCTCATTTGTTTTTAATTCTACAGCTCTACAGGAATTCTTTAAGCTGCCTTAATTCTTTTGTGAAGTGAAGCAGACCACAAATAAATACACTAAATTAAAAACAAAAACCTTGGCCTCTCTCACCCTCAAGTTTCTCATATGTAAAACAGAAATCCAAGTGAGAACAACACTGCTCACCAGGGCAGAGACAGAAGTGATTGAAAGCAACTCTTAATCGAGTAAGTATTCATGACCTTCATGTGGAATCTCTCTTTGCTGCCCATCCCTCTTCCCTAAAATCTCTACTCAGTGAGGGCAAGACACTGAGCTCATGATACATCAAAGCTCGGATCCTGCCAGGCAATAACATGGAAAAAGAAAGGAAGTGACCACAGCTAGCAAGGACTCACCATTTCTGCTCACTCAGCACCAACTCTAGGGATGGCCTCCACCCAAGCTGGGCTGGGACCCAGAGCCATGGCAACACATGGACTGCGGGGACCGGAAGCCAGGTGACTAAGGCAGAACTCCAGGGGGGAGTTCTTGGGCCAAGAATGCCTGCCTAAATGTTGCTGTGCTGCGTTGTGCTATCCAGCTTGCAGGTGGATGTCTCAGCCAGCAAGCACCGGGGCACACTAGATGCTGAGCTTGCCATGTGGTTTGTAGCAGACTCAGGGCATGTCAGGCAGTGTGCTGGCCAAAGGTAGTGAGTGGCTCAGAGAAAACAGGGGCTACCTTACAAACATGGCCCAAGAGCCAGCGTGTCACAGAGAGCAACAGCAGGAGAGTAGATGATGTGCATTGATCAGGCCTGTACAGTAAATACTGAAACATATTCCCAGGTTAGGGGCAAAAGAGGACAGGAAGAGTATGAAAGGAAGGGAGGGAGAGAAGAAATGAAGAATAAGAGATGGATTCATCAGGAGATGGATATTCCAGAAATCATTTTCTCCTGGCCTACAGATTGAATCTTTTCAAGTAGGTTCTATGTAATCATATTTTCCCTTCCAATTCAAAGAAAGCATTGTTTGACAAGAGTAGCTCAAAGAAAACCTAAAGTGAGCTGAGCTTGGTGGTACATGCCTGTAATTTCAACACTCAGGAAGCTAAGTCAAGAAGATCATGAGTCCAAGGCTAGCTTGGGTCATGTAAGAGAGACCTTGTCTCAGCAAACCAAATCAATAAATAAAAACAATCAAGATGGACTTAAAACTACAGTTGATCACTGAGAGCCAATGTTTTACGTAAGTATGGAGCTCAACTACTCATAGAAATCATTTCTATCTCTTCCTAAGTGAGAGGTTAAACATGGTAGTATTCAAAACCAGTGTTTTAATCTAATGCCCAGCCTAGGGAGTTCGTAAACTTTCATTGTTTCTGAATTCTTTCTCCCTATCCATCTTCCTGCACATTTTGCTTCAGGAATCATCACGTTGGTCTCTGGCTAAAGAATGTCTCACAATCACGTAGCCCTTCAGGTTTTTCATTTGCCCCCATTCACCCTTTCTGTATCCCATTCCTTTCTCCCTGGTGGAGTCCCTTCTTTCCTAGGTTGTGGGTACCAAAAGCCCTCACCCCAGCAACCCTACTCTTCAGGAAAGGTGCATTAGGAGCTCACCTACCCCCTTCACTTCCCTCGAGGAGGAGGAAAAATCTCTCAGCAGGAAAGTGGTTGCATTTTTTTTTTCTTAAGTCACTTTGCCTGTGTCAGTGGTTGTCCTGATTCTTGCCTACAGCAACAGGGACTCAGGCAGAGGAGGTTGGTGGGACTATGGTCCTGAGGGAGGATTTATAGGATGCCACCATGCTGCCATGGAAACTGAGTCAGGCAGTGCCTTACCTCGGTGCAGCACGATGTGGTCGATCATGTTGCGCTTGTATTTGGTGTGATAGAGGCAGAGAGGACAGCGGAGATCTTTGGGACCCTCCTCAGGAACGGCTGAATGCCCAGCTTCCACGTGCATAGTAAAAGCAGATCTAGGAGACAGGGTGGGGAGAGCGGCCATAAGTGTGACGAAGGGTTCTCTCATGTGTACATCACTGCCAGCCACCCCACTGTAGGTGTGCACATGGGACTCTTCAGCTTGAGAAGGCCAAAGCAAAGCTAGGTCTCTGCTGACCATGAATTCCTTGGCCATTCAACTAATAGCTGACTGATAGCTGACCTTAGAAATACAGTGGCCACATCTATCAGGAAATTTTGTCACTTGCCTAGGATTAGGGTTTCATTTGAAAAGGAACAAATTCCCCAAACATCTTATTCTTGAAAATTAGATGATGCTTGTTAATAGCATGAACAAAGACCCTAAGAAGACCAGTTTCATGCTTGGGAGAAGGAAGGGCATTTCAAAGCTAGATTGATCTACCAATTGTCTATATGACTCTTCACAGATAGAGAGAGGGGGCGAAGGCATTCAGGTCATAATGATCAGCAACGGGACAACTCAATTCAGAGATGGTCCACGGCTCAACTCTTCAAAAACTTACAGAGCCTAAGCTGGACACTGGTGACTCATCTCTATAATCCTAGCTACCCAGAAGGCTGAGATCTGAGGACTGTGGCTTGAAGTCTGTGCCCAGTATCAGATAATATTATCTTCAGTTTACAGGAGGAAATGGAGACAGAGAGAGACTTATGACCTGTTTAAGGTGGCATGGCCATCAAGTGGCTGCGTATTCTCCACCTGTCACCACTGCCCACACAACATCTCACAAGATGTGATGAAATTGCAGGAGTTGAGATTATCTGCTAGAAGAACTCCACTTTTTCACTGAGTTCACCAATGCTGTCAAACACAGGGACAAGGAAGACTTAGTCTAGACTCAAACGATTTTTCTGTGCGATTGCTTCAGTCTAATCTTTTCAAGGCTGTGGGATTGATTCCTGAGGTGTCTTCAATGCCACAGTCTTAAAAATGAATTTTCTAGGACAGGAACAGAGAAGTCATAATTGCTGGATATTCTCTTTTGACTTACTTACTGAATTTTATCTCCAGGTGTTTCTTCTACCTTACCCTCCCCTCCCCAATAAAAACTAGTACATTTAAAGAAGTTAGGTGTGAACGTAAGCATCTCCAATCCCAGCACTCAGGAAACTGAGTCAGGAGGATCAAGTTTGAGGCTAGTCTGGATTGCATAATAAAACATGGTGTGCAAAATAAGAACTCTAACAGTTATAATAACTTTTTGAATTCAAATTAATTTTTTTAAAATAAGAGAGAGTGATATTTTCTGAAAATTGTACTGGGTCAGCGAACTGCTTTGTTGAAATCTCACACCACTCAGGAAGTTACTTGCTCTGAGTTTTAAATGCATTTGTCTTGATATAGCTCTTTGATCTTCCTACAAGTAAGCTGAAGCTAGCTTCCTTTGATGAAGACTGGTACCCAGCCTCCCTAGGATCCAGGCCAGGGCCTTCCCTGAGCTCTGGGTGAGAAGGGACCAGGCCAGAGTGGTGAGAACTGGAGCAAGGGTAGCCATTTGTCCTCCTATAGTTAAGCCACTTACTTAAAGCCTGTGTAAAAGGTGCAGTCTTTGCACTTGAAAAGCTTCTTCCCGCCATGCTTATCCCGGTAGTGGCGCCTGATGCTCTGGATGTAGCCAGAGGAGAATTCACAGAATTCGCAGTGAAGAACAGCTTCGCTTTTCTGCTCGGAGCCAGCAGCAGCCCCAGAAAGAGACACAGGGCTAACCCTGCTGTTGTTTCTCGCCAAGGCAGCTGACTGATAGTGGTTCAGCTGCTGCTGGACATCAGGGGGTTCGGAGTAGGAAGAGTCTGTGGAGAGATGAAGAAAATGACCCTAAGCACAGGGAACTCCGTGGAGGCGGGCTCCTGAACACTCCTGACATTAGAGACGTCCCCTAAAAGGTTTCACTGAGGTAACTGACAAAATAAACACATATTGAAGGTGTACACCCTGGTTTTACACACATGTACACTGTGAATCATTACAACACTGAATTAACGAAGGCAGCCACTTCCTCCACGGCTACTGTTCTTTGGTGTACTGTATAACTAACTGGGCATCTGCTTGAGATGACATTTCCCTCCCTCCTTTCCACACTGGTACTGGGGCTTGAACTCAAGAGCCTGGTCACTATCCCTTAGCTTTTTCATTTAAGGTTGGTGTTCTACCACTTGAGCCACAGCTCTACTTTTGGCTTCTTGCTGGTTAATTAGAGATAAGAGTCTCACAGATTTTCCTACTCAGGCTCTTTGAACTGTGATCCTTAGCTCTTAGCCTCCTGAGGAGCTAGGAAAACAGGTGTGAGCCACCTGCAGCCAGTGGGTGACATATGATATTTTCTAACTAAAAATCGGCACCAAGACCAGTGGAATCACCTGCCCAGGGTTGTCTGTGATCTTGATGTTGTTCATCTGCATCCGACAACCCAAAGCTGCCAAATGCATATAGGGAGGAAGTGCTGCCCTCTTTGATTCTGAATTTGAGGGTTCATGAAATTTAAAAATAAAATCCTGAGGTTAAGGGTTTCAAAGTGAAAGAAGAAAGTGAAGTGTTGTTTAAAGGACATTGGTCCACACTGGTGACATAAACAAACCACAGAGTCTACATGGGGAAGGAAGGTGGGTGATGCAATCTTTCTACTTTTGCAGCCCAGAATTATTCACACCAAACCGAATTAAAAAAAATAAAGTAAAAAAAAAAAGTCTTTCACAGAAATGCTCAAACACATGGCACTCACACAAATCTAAAAGTGCTTTATGCCTCCACACTCAAGTGATTTAAATTAAAAAATATATAAACACACACACACACACATATATATGTATGTATGTATGTATAAAATCCAATAGTGTTCTCTCCTGGAATAGATGTTTAAAGCTTAGTCAGCATTAAGATGGAGATTTATTCATAAATCCCATTAAAATGAAATTCCAAACAAGTTTCTCCGAAAGGTATTTACAAGTTTGCAATTTTGAGGAAAATGTCGGAAATGACAGGCATAAATCTTAACCGTGAGAAGAGCTGTCGGTGGCATGTGGTGGAGAAATCAGATCTGGAGAAGAGGAAAGCTGGAGATTCTTCTTTAAATAGGAGAGAGAAGTAAAAAGGAAAAGAAAACAGAGTGTGCACGAGACAGTAAAATATCTTGAACCCTTTTCCCACCACGTTGCTTAGAAAGTAGAGGTTAGAATCCAACAACATTGTCCTCCTCAACCTGCAGCTGTCCGTGAATGACACTGAGCAAATCTGTGCATACTACACAGCAGAATTCCAGTGTAACTCTCCTTGAAAAGAAAACAAAGGGCTCTTTTCTTAGCTTTTCATCGGGCAAGGGGGAAAGGGGACAGAAACTGTACAAGCTTCCTCCTGATTTGATGGACAGTTAATTTTCGAAAGCATGCATCCCCGAGGCAGGACATGGAGGAATTCTGTAAAACCCACATTTGATGAGACTACAACCACCCATCCTGTAGGCCTCTGAAAAAGAAAGCACAGAGCCAGAGCAATCTCCCTTATTATGGGGCCACCGCCTTTCTTCAAAATATTAAGATGTTTTCCTTCCTTGTTCTCTGCTTCGATCCTTAAGTCACATTCCCCAAGACTGAGGAGGAAGAAGAGGGGGAAAAAAACCTTTGCAAATTGTAAACCAATCTGCCATACAAGAAAATTAAAACAAAAGGAAACTTGAACGATCCCTCCAGGTCTCCATGGGTTCATTACCAGATGGAAAAGGGAAGACAAAGGAAGAAAGGATGACACAACTGGATTCCTTTGACTTGATTCTTTCATCTCCTTCTTTATTCTTCTAGCCTCCACCAATGAACCCGCTCAGGACCACAATAACGCAATTGTCAGCTCGTCATTCTTTCTTTCAATAGCAAGTTTGTTTACCATTTCATGGATTGTTTGAGGTTTTTCTGTTTAAACCCTCAGGACTCATTTCTGCTTAAATCATACACAAGGAAACACAAGATGCACTGTAGCTCTGCTGTTAACACAATTCTCACACCCAGCTTGACAACTGCCTCTCAGGAGCCTCAGAAAACCTAGTCCTCTTGGTGGTACTGGTCATAGCTCTGCAGAATAGAAACTCTGAAGGCACCAAGGCAAAGCCAGGTCGTGTTGTGCCAGATCTGTCCACCAGCCACAAATCCATCCGGAGACCAACACGACTCTCCCAAGGAATGGGCCATTCCTGAAGGAGCACCTGAAGTCGCCTTTGTGACCTAGCACACATACCTCAGGGAGTTTCATAGGCAAGTCTGGATGGTGACACCAGGCACCTGACAGCTTCTAATCCCTTCCCATCAAAGTGATAGGGGACTAAGACATGGATGGTAAACCTCATAGATCCTCCCCTTAGCTGCCATTCATACCCAACCCAAACTGGGCAAGTGGCTCATGCCTGTAATTCTAGCTACTCGGGGTAGGGGTGGGGCTGAGATTTGAAGATCACAGTTCAAAACCAGCCTGGCCAGAAAAGCCCATGAGAACCTCATCTTCAATTAAAAGCAAAAAGCTGAAGTGGCTCAAGTAGTAGAGCTCCAGCCATGAGTGAAAAAAGCTAAAGGACAGTGTGCAGGCCCTCAGTCTAGGCCAAATACTAACAGACACACAAAGAAATGAATCCTTTATCTTGTATCTAGGAACTACTGCACATTATTCTATCCATCTCAAAGAAACCTTTTTTAAATTTTTTAATATATATTTTTATTGTAAAGATACTGTCCGGAGGGGTTATAGTTACATGAGTAAGATCATGAGCCCATTTCCTATCGAGTATTGTTACCCTCTCCTTTGTTTTTCCCCTACCATCCCTTCCCACCCCACCTCCCCAACTCCTTCCTCCTCCGTCCCCTCCTCCAAAGTTGTAAAGTTCATTTTCAACATAGTGTCGTGTACATCTCATTGTTATAATGGGTCAACCTGTATCCTTATTGCAGCACTTTGTTATTTCCCTTCCCCTCTCCAAATTAGAAAATTGTATATATAAGATGCAGTGTACCAGAATCAAATACAGTGACAACAGGGGTTATAACATGAGGGAAGAACATTCAAAAGAAACAAAAAAAATCTCATAGTACATTATAAGTACATTAAAAACAACAGCAACAAAGATAAAACCTCTTGTGTCCCTATCTTGGGTTTCATTTCACTTAGCACCATCTTTTATGGTCCTATATATATAGCTTTTGACCTTTTCTGCTTGTCTGGTAAGATTATCCTAGCTGTATACTAGTTATTGCAAATAAGGGAAACCATGGGACCTATGTTTCTTTGGGTCTGGCTTACTTCACTTAATATAAACTTTTAAGCATTACCTTTGGTATTGATATATGATAAGGAACTTGGGAGAAATAAAAGTGAAATTCATCATCCACTATGTGAGACAAACCTTTGCTTCCCCACCACCCCCTCCCCACTACAATCGGATGGACAAGTGTAATTACAAGGAGAAGCAAATCCTATTAGTTAGGACACATCTTTAATAATGCCCAGGTGACAACTTTGTGGGTCTTACAAATTTACTTTCTCTTTGCTGCCTACCATTCTCAGTCTCTTCTCCTTTCCCTCTTTTAAGGTTTATGAATAATGTACAATTTTAACACATTGGGCAATAAAGTGACAAAGACATGAATGTGTGATTGGGATATTCTTTTTAAAAAGCCCACTTGCTAAGCAACATAAAATTCCAGTTTGTCTAGGAAGCTTAATCCCAAGAGCTAAGCTTAGAAAGGCAGGTTAGAAAGGCAAACCGATTGTTAGCAGCGAAGGACATGTCACATAAACTAGAAATCATCATTAAAACTGTTTTTCTTCATTCTGTGCTTAGGGAAAGGAAAGTAAAAAACTACCCTGTGTATGGGAACACAAAGTTTTGGTCATGGTAAAACAACAGATGAAGCACAGTGGGAAATTCTGCACCCAAGGGTAGACTGCCTTGAGTTAGTTTTATCAGCTGCATGGCCATTAGTGTCTACAATGAAACCAGCAGCAAAGATTAGGGTAACATGGCCTACTTGTGACAACAGCTCACAGTTTAGTGTAAAACCACACATTCCTGCTCAACCACCCTTGACATACACAGTCTGAAAAGAGTTCAATGCCCTGAGTTGTGGTTTTATTTATGTGTAAGTTTAATAAGTTAAATTTGCTTATGTTATATGTAGCTATCTATTTTGCAAATTGTCTATCATGAGGAAAGAATTCTGTTTGGTAAAGTTAGGACCAAACTATACATTTATAGACGAGTATGCCAATTTTGCCAGTGAGGTAATGCTGAAAACGACTGGCCACACAGCTACCAAGATGCAAAGGCAGGGTTTATCTGACTGTAAAAAAATCAGTCCTCTCCACACCCCAGGGTGATTTGGTAGAGTGTCATGACACAAATCAGATGAATAAGAAAGAACAAGAGAATTCTCCCCCTGCTGTACACAGGAGAGAGAAGAGACAGAAAACAGCAGCAAGGCTGAAATAGTTAAGTTCATATTAGAAGAAACACAAGTAAGGTAAATCTGGGATGTAGCTCAGTGAGACAGTACTTGTTATACAAGGACTCGGAGTCACCACCACCACACCATCATCGTCATCATCAGCATCATCATCAGCATCATCAGCATCACCATCATCACCATCATTACCACCACCACCAGTATCACAGTGTAAGACAAGAGGATATTTAAGAAATAACATTAAACTGAAAGGAAAGAAAACAGTAACCACTGCAGTGCAAAATAAAACAAGATTCCTGGGAGGGAAGAGGAGTATTCAAAGCTGCCAAGTGCTTTATAGAAACAACACAGGA